GCAGTTTGAACCCGTTTCCAGGTCTACGTGGTGCGCGAGAGCGACTTGCGCAACATTCCGGAGGCGTGCACGGGGGGTTGAGGGTTTTAGGGCCTTCGTAAATGTTACCGAGATCCCTCCCACACACCAAAAGTGGTAATGTTAAGATAAGGCGCCCGAAACTTATCCCCTAAACCCTAAACCCAAAAGAAGCACCCAGAGGCCTCTGAGGGCCCCAGAGGCCTCTGAGCCCAGGAGCCTTCAGAGTCAAGTGCGCTGAAGCCACCAAAAACGTTGGGGTTTAGGGTTTGGGGTTTAGGGTTTGGGGTTTAGGGTTTGGGGTTTAGGGTTTAGGGTTTGGGGCTCAGAGTTTGGGGTTTAGGGTTTAGGGTTCAGCAGCTCCGGATCGAGCATTTTTAAAGAAAAGTTACATTCATGTCTCAGACATAACACCCATCCACCCTTAGAATCCCATAACATTGGAAAATGCAAAGTTCCGTTTTTATATTAACGACTTACGTACACATAGCACATCATCATCTTCAACACTAGCGGCTTACACTTAATGCTCGCTACCGTCGGGAGTTACTCAAAATGACAGAAACATCAGCACCGTCGGGTGTTACTCAAAATGACAGAAACTATCAACGTCTTCGTTTTATGGGTATCACTCAGGCGACAGTATGATACCTCTAGCTGACTCTAGCTCACGCGGACTGATAAAAACATCAACACCACAAGACAAGCAGCAACAGACACTTTCGGTCGTCTACCACGTGCCGCCTTCGCGCGCCCACCGCCAATTGATCAGAGCAGCTAAACCCTAAAAGCCAAATGTCTTCGCTACTGTATGTTGTTAATAGATACCATATAGACAACATCTCAGCCAATGATTGATATGACTTTAAGACGTTTTGGTTTTTAGTGGCCGTGTCTTGAGCAGTCTGATGGCCTACGATCGGACCAGACCTGAAATCTCTAGCTCAATGCTGTGATGTGACACCATCCGCCGGCAACTGCCAGCATGCCAGGTCGAGGGCTATCGGCGTCTAGAATGTAGTAGCAATCCTGGCAAATGGCACGTTTTTGACCAGATATTGAAATGACAAAAACCGCCATCGTTGAATGGCCATGTCTCACCTAAATTGTCACTTGTGCGAAATCCGAGACGTGGAGACAACCGGCGGGGCCCCACCGTGACGTGTCCCGAGGCCCCCCGTGACGTGTCCCGGGGCCCCTCCGTGACATGTCACGGGGGCGCGGCCTCTTGCGTGGGCCTCTAAAAAAGCTCGAAAAGCTTGCGCCGGACCGGGTCGAAAAAAGTGGCGCCGGACACGGTCCGAAAAGTGGCGCCGGACACGGTCCCAGCCTCTTGTGGGGGCCTCTAAAGGCCTGGAAAACTGGCGCCGGACACGGTCCAAAAAAGCGGCGCCGGACACGGTCCTGGGGAGCCTGCACTTTGTCCGGCGTCGGCGCCGGACGCACTCCAAAAGTGGCGCCGGACACGGTTTGGACTTTGTCCGGCGCCGGCGCCGGACGCTCTTCGAACCGTGTCCGGCGCCACTTGCCGGTACTTGGCGTGCTCGCGTGCGGCGTTTTTGCAGGAATCCTGCGCCAGGTCAGCTGCTTAGCTTCAAAAACGCACATTTTTTGGAATTTCGGTGTTTTTTTGCGTGCCAAGTCTTCCGCAAATTTGCCTGCATTTTTGTGTTGTTGCGCGCTCTGGGTTCTCTCCAATAGCTTTTCGCACTGAATTTGAGTCGGTTTTGCACGTTGCTGCTTTATTCGGGCAGCGCCTAAAGACAGCCTCGTGGGAAATAAAATACAGTTGGGACATTTGCAGATGGATCAACAGCTTTTGCGTGGAAATCCTTTCTGGAGTAGGCAAAACTCTCTACTCAAGCAGGACGTTCGATTTGCGCGGTTTTTTGCGTGCTTCGTGTTCTGCACGGTTCGCACGATGTTCATACTTATCCGTTCGACTCTGCGTCGGCATTTGGTTTTCATTAGCGAAACAATGCATTCGTCTCAGGTCCTGTTCGTTGTCCTCGTTGGTGAGACTGGCAGCGTTCTTGGATTCAGCCCAAAACTGCAAAGTACTTTGCCTCCGTTTTGCGTGTTTTCAAAAACTTAATTTTAAGAACAGTAAATCTATTTTAGATGTAGTGGCTTTAGTAACGTTTTTCCTTTGCCTTTTTCGGGGTTTGGTTCTATATACTGATAACCACCAGACTGACCTATGTTATTCGCGGTTTTGCGCAGCCAAGGCAGACGACGTACTTCTACGTCTCCGCAGGCGCGAGGACGTGACACTTCATAGCCAAAACCTCAGACAGATTATGCCGAAGCAGCTCAGTCGAGGACAGATAAGGAAAACCTCCTGCTGCGAGTTTTCCTTCATGTCATGACTTGTATCGAGTGTTTGCTCAAGCTTTTGATCCAAGCTGAAAGCTTTACACTCCTCCACCCGACCATGTGGAAGTTGAAACCGTGCTCCACAGTCATTGACTTGGACATTGACTCGGACAGCGACCATGCGGTCCCCAAACGGTCGCGACCAAAAACATCTATTTTAGCAAAGCTCGAAAAGTCTAGAATCATCCGGAGCCCCACCGTCAAGAACGAGAAGATGGACTTGGCTCACACTACCGCGAAGCACGGCCAGGCGAACACAGACGTGCAAAAGAGTGACATCAATCCAGAGCCCAACACCACGGGGAACAGAACCAGCACAGTGGCAGCCGCAAGCCGCGGACATGTGCTTCGTGACCTGTGGCGGCCACATGAAGGTCATGGATCCTGTCGCAATGCAGCCTGCATCTTTGGACCTCGCGGCAGTGTCGCCGCTGCTGGGCCTGCAGGACTTTGCGATCTCTGCAACTTCGCGGACATGGAAGCTTTGATGCAGCATGGACAGGGCCGTTTGACTCACCTCTTGAATCAACTGGCTGGACCCGAAGCTCGCATTGCTCTCGCTCGCATCGAGACCACCATGGGGGAGACTTTCGCCAACGAACTTCGAGCCAGGATGCAAAGAAGTCAAAGTCGCAAACGAGCCGATCGGCCTCGCCGCGGCCCTCGAGGACCATACAAGAAGAAGTGAGCTGACGGAGCGACTCCTCCCTTTGGAGCCGGCCCAGTTGTGTTTCCTTCTTCCTTGAAGCTTGCTGAGTGCGAAAATCCAGCCATTAATGACAGCTTCCACACAGCAGACTCGCGCATGGAGCAGGTTGCTGTTCGCGTTGACTGCCTAGCTGTAGCACCGGCTTTCACCAACCGACCGTAACATTTCTGTGTTCAAGTGCGACTTCTCCTAGTGCTCCTTCTGCTTGTCATCGTCATGTCTGAGGGCTTGCTCGGTGCGTTCTCTAGCGATGCTGCGGCCAACACCCAGCCGACCGAGAAGAGGCGCGTGAAACTTTTTCCGTGGGATAGCGTTGCGACTCAGCTTCTCGAGCCTTACGGCGAGAGCAACTTCGACACTCTCTCCTTGAAGAAGCTCTACGAGGCGACGGCCAGGGGAAACAAGTCGGCGGCCTATCACTCCCATCTTTGTGCCCCGATGGATACAGACGCCTGGCATGTTGGTGCCGGAATTTCTCAAACAGCCGCCGCTCTGCTTGCGGCCATCGGGAAATTCCGCTCCAAGGAGATGAAGGCAATCATGAAGGAGGAGCTCTATGCAAAAGTCGAGGAAGAATTGGTCGGACTGGAGCCGACGCTGAAACGCTTGAACATGGGAAAGGGCAGTCAAACCCAGAAAGATACCGGATCTTTCCGCGAAGCCAAGAGGCAGAAAACGAGCCACACTACAGATTTGCCGATCGAGTCGACCCCAGAGGAAATCAAGCAGGCTGCCCTCGCCTTTCATCAATGGTTGAAGCAACCGCAGAGTGCCTTCCGCAGCTTGCTCTTCATTCTCGCCGGCAGCAACACCTACTACACGGGCCACGTCGCCGAAACCACGGCCCGCGCCGTGGTGGAGCAGAAGCCGCTGAGCCAGGCGGACTTTCAGACGGCCATGGTAGCGCGGAAGACCGAGGCGCCTGAGGCCACAGCCACAGCAGCTGCGTCCAGTGCTTCCGGTCTGTTCCAGTTGTAAGGTCCGGCCGCACAGAGCTTGTGCGCACAGATTTTGATGAGTTCTTTCACTGCGATGTTCTTGGTATGATTGCCGCAGTCCTGATTCGCGCTGGCTACCTGGACAAGGTTGCGTGTGCAAAACACGGCCTAGGCCGGAGCCGCTACCACTAACAAACATTCTACCTTGATCGAACCAGCAGTCTCTGCTTCAAGCACTTCGCCTTGCTAAAGCTAGAAAAAGCTGCTTGTTTGTTTCAACATAACCAGAGCATGCTGTGTTGTGCACTGCATGTTGTCACAAGCGTGTTGCATCACAATGTCTGCGTGTGAACTCGCTGCAGCTGCTTTGAAGCACTTTGGTTGCAGTCCTGCCCTTACCTCCGTACCACCGACCACGTCGTCATCATGGCGGGTAACACTGTCGGCTTCCGCAATCTCGGAACGTCTTGTTTCCTGAATGCCGGCCTCCAAGCAGTTCTCGGAGTTCAACCCTTGGTCAGAGCCATCAACGAGGGCACGGGTGATGAGGAAGTTGCTCTTCAGCGACTCCTGGCGCGGCTCGCGACGAACACCGAAGCATTCGTGCCCACGGAGGTGACGAACCGCTACTACCGCCATCGGCAAGAAGACGTAACAGAGTTCCTCGGCAAGCTGCTGGAAAAATGTTTTGGCTGTCACGAATTCTTGTACGGCAGTGAATGGTCCAGCTTCCAATGCCAGCATTGTGGCTATCGTCGTTTGCTGCGGGTCGACAACTTTGATAGAATCCAGCTGCCGATCCTGGGCATGAAGTCTGTTCAAGAAGCACTGGATGCGTACCTGTCCCAGAGCACCGTCACCGAGGATGCCGCAAACTGGTTCTGCCTGACAACGGACTGTCTCACGAATGGCCTCGCCGAGAAGAGTCCCTTGCACGTCTCCGGCATCGACAGTTGGCCAAAAGTGCTAGTCCTTTCGCTGAAGAGGTGGAACTGGAACCTCGATGAGGTTGTTGCCCACAAGATCTTCGTCGATAAAGTCTTGCAGACGGCTGAATGCACGTATGACTTGTGCTCCTTGGCCACCCACATCGGACGTCGCCCTGACAGCGGTCACTACATGGCTTACCGTCGAGACGCTTTCGGCTTCCTGAAGTTTGACGATCATGAGGTCACGCGACTGGCCCCAGCAAAAGAAGACGACTTCGTCACCGTGGCTGCGGAGAAGGTTTACGTCCTCTTCTACGTCAAGCGAGACCACATCCCCCCGGAGAACACGCAGGCTCGACCATCGAAGTTCCGGCGACTTGCTTCACACAAGATCCCAGAGCCCGCACAAGCAGATGCCATAGACATCGACACAGACTCTGATGTCGTTGTCCAACAAGATTCGCAGCCGAGCCGACCTCCTCCTGTTCCTTCGGAGACTGCAACTGCAACAAAGCAGGTCATTGACCTCGACTCCGAGAGCGATGTCGTCACGGAGAAAGATGTGCCCGGACAGCCTTCCGCCGAAGCCGCCAGCGACGACTACGACATTCCTGCTCTAGCACCTGCACCCACATCCAAAGAACAAGATCACCTGACTGGAACGCCTTTGCTGCGATTCAGTCACGATGAAAGGCTTCGTATACAAGAAGTTTTGCAAGATTGCTCCACGGTGAGGGAAGCTACGGCAGCGCTTGCTGTCACGGTGCCAAGGCTCACCGTCAAGGACAAGCAAGCGGCAGGGTACCTCTCCCGGAAGACACTTCGTAATTGGCTACAAAACCCAGGCAGCTTCCGGAAAGCTCTGTCCAAAGCGACAAACCAACGACCTGAAGCTAGAGTCCACTCTGCTCGTTCAGGTAGCACACGGGCAGCTCTCTCGGATGCAGACAAGATCATTATTCGCGATGCCTTGGGCGCTGCACAGTCGCTCAACCACCTCCTCCACATCTTGACCGAACGCCTTGACGAGTTCAGTGCCGTCGACACTGCGGCACCCAAGTACATTCCGACCAACACCCTTCGAGAGTGGATGAGCCGACCAACCATCGGCCGCTGGTTCGAGGCAGTCGAGTTGGACACATGGGATGCCGAGTTTGATCGCACTTTCACGGTGGCAATGACCAAACCAGCCAAACGCGAGCCGAGCTCCCTGGGAACGGAGTCCAAGGACGACCAATGTCTAGTCTACGGCTCTTGGACTTTCTGCCCAGATTGTGGCCGTCGGCGTCCTCGCAGCCACGTCACATCCAGAGAAGCCGTGAACTCTGCCGTCAAATGTAAGCCTCAGTGTGACCTTCAAGCCGAAGACCTGCTTCAGCCGCCTTCTGCAACTCTTGGTGCGAAGAAACTTCAAGGTTACGTGACGCCAATGTCGCAGAATTGGGAAGCTCTGCTGGCCCACCTGGAAGCCACCGGCTTGCCTCTTCTCACGGCCTTGACAAAGGAAGACCTGGACAGTCTGACCATTGTTGACCTGAAGCTGGCCTACCGCAGCCGTCGAGGCGGCCATGCCGAGATCACCAGCAAACAGAAGCAGACCGTGATCAGAGCCAGGTGGAAGCCGATGCTCTTGACCGAAGTCAGCCGTTCTCAGAAAGCTGCTGCCGCCTTTGACTGGCTGCGAAACAATAACAGCACCTATGCTGCCTGGGTCGAGAAGCACATGCAGCGCCGCCAAGAAGGCGCATCAGGACAGGCTGATTGGCGTGAAATTCCCACAGCCGAGCTGCTACTGAACTCGCCGGGAGTCGAAGTCGCCGCACGGCCTTGGCTGTATCCTTTGGCAAGCTTTGCTGAAACGGACCTGGCCACTCGTCTTAAGGAGCTCGGCTGGATCGCCAAGAACAGCACCGTCTCCATCAGACAAAGCTTCATGCGAAAGATTACCAGTCGATGCTTGGACTATTGTCGCGACTTCCGACTACATTGTCTGTTGTACGATGTTTGCATGGCCAAGTCCATCACCTCCATCATCCACATCGCCAACAAGATGCACATCGCTCCGGAGCAAGCCGCGTCGCAACAGGATTCCTTCGAAGGATACTGGTGGCTGCAGATACGAAAAATGGAGGACGTCTGCAGGCGTGAGTTTGAGCTCACCGAGGACATGAGTCAATCGCTGCCAAACATCTTTTTCACAGTGGCGCCTGCCGAGTGGCGCTATCTGTTACCAGACGGTCTCATGTTCGCCGACAGTCTTTCAGACCAGCAGGCCCTCCTAACCCTCCACTTGTACCACACTTTGGAAGCAATGCTGGAGAAGCACCTTCTTAAAGAAGGATCCAGTCTGCGCCAGATCGGCTTGGACAAGATAAAGCACTGGAGCTTTCGCTTTGAGTTTCAGTCCCGTGGCACCTTGCACATCCATGCGGTGCTATGGTCGCAGCTGCTACCCGGCTGGTCGGCTGAGGACATCACCGGTCGCACGGACGGCCCTGGAAGCGCTTTCGTTCGCCTGCTGGAAACGCTGTTCAAGTCTCGGGCAGATGTCCAATGTGGCGACGGCAACCACTGCTTGCTACGATACGTGGCAGGCTACGTCGCGAAGGCTTCGGATGCATTGCAGTTCTCCAAGCACCAATCTCTAGGTGAAGGTCAATGGCGCCAAGCTTACCGACTCATTTGCAAAAAATCGCCTACGGAACAAGAAATCCTGATGGAGTTCGCAGGGCTCGCCATGGTGAAACACTCTTTCTCCGGAGTCGATGTCTTCGCACCGATCCCAGGCAGCTGCGCCAGCAACAATTCCAGACGACAATATCGTGCTTATCAGCATCATCTTCGCCCAAGGCAAGACGAACCGGGAGATGCTCGACAGCTGACCTTCATCCAGTGGCTTCGGCAGTTCCAGCTAACGACAGATGACCCGGAGGACATGTCCGTGCACAGGCGGAACATCGCCGGGCCTGCCCGCAACAAGATCGCCGGCGTTGCCATGCAGTTTCCGTACGAACTGCTCGACATTTACCTAGGAGCCTGGGCAGCGTCTTGCTTGCCAGGCATGGCGGAAGAACGTCTACTACCATCCGTACCCGACGAGCTGGACTTGCCAGGTTATGAGTACGAACTCGCCAGACGTCGATCCTTGCTCGCTCCAGATGGTGCCAGGCATTTGAAAAGCGTGCTCTGTCTCAACGAGTTCCAGCTGGACGGAGCCAATGGTCTTGTTTACAATCCAGATGTCGCAAAGCTGCTCAGTGCCATTGAACCTGAACTAGCACTGCGAGGACTCAACGACGATAGAATCGCAACCTTCAAAGCTAAAATAGAGGCCACACACTTGTTGCTCCTCAAGATTCGTGATGGAGAGGAAAATCACGAACTTTGGTCGGTTCGCAAGCTGCCGGGACTCCCGGCACGCCAGTGGTCTCCCGAGCAGCAACAGGTGCTCGATTTCGTCAAGCAGGCTCTGCGTCTACAGGACGCCGCAGAAGCGGATCGCGACTGCCGGCTTCTACACATCTCCGGATCCCCAGGAACTGGAAAGACCGAAGTCGTCATCGCGGCGGCGGAGCTGGCCCTCGCCGACAATTGCAAGGTGCTCATCGGCGGGCCCATCGGCCTCTTGGTCGCCATGTACAAACTCCGACTGCCGGTCACGGACAATCTGTGCATGGAAACCATCCACTCCGCCTTTAAAATTACCCGAGACGCCGATGCAGCTTATATCCCTCCGGGACGGCTACGAAGGTATGACGTCATCATCCTGGACGAAATCTCCCAGATCGACGAGTTCGTGTGGGGGCGGATCAAGGTAGCTTTGAACGAGTTGCACCCAGTACCTCTCGTTCTCTTCGTCGGCGATGAGCAACAATTGCAGCCCGTGCACGGTCAACCTCAACTCTTGCTAGACCTGGCGTCCTTGACAGAGGCCGGGAAGGCTCAACATATTCGTCTGCGGCAGCATGAACTCGCCCGCTCCGTGGATCCGACCATGCTGGCGTTCCTGGACAAGATCCGCACCAGGCAACCAACACGATCTGAACTGGAAGAGTTCTTCCGCGGCAGAGTTTGGGATTCCAACTTTCGGGATGCCGTGAAGAAGAGCTTTGACATCGAGAGGAACACCGGGAACAAGTTCATGTTCTTGACCGTCGCCAACAAGCCTGCAGCGGACCTAAATCAAGCAAGACTAGAGCTCGAATTCCCCGAGGAAGCTCGGCGACTGTCTAATGGCGAAGGCTTACCTGGCGAGATCGGCAACATTCTCCTGACTGCCAACATGCGCGTTCGCCTGACTCATAATGTCAACAAAGAGGAAGGCTTCGTGAACGGTAATACAGGCACAATCAGGAAGGTCCTCCGCCGGGATGTGTTCATCATGGAGAGCTCGCAACAAACCTGCATTTTGGTGTACCCAATCACCGTCAAAGGCCGCAAGTATCTCCCGGTCGCCTACGGGTATGCCACGACAATGCGCAGAGCGCAGGGGGCCACCATGGAAGCCATCGGATTGCTATTCGATCGTCGCGTGCCCGACAGAGGCTACGCGTACGTCGGCACGTCCAGGGCCAAGTCCAGCTCCATGATCTTCCATCTTGGCAGACTACGCCAGACGGACTGGTTGCCTGTTGGCGGAAACCCAAACGAGGAACACGCCTCGCTTTCCGTTTTCAGCGAGTCCAGCGGTGAACAGGAGGAATCGGAAGCGCCGCCGACGGAGAGCCCGGAGGCAGCGTCCATCGACTTCGATGTCGAGCACGAGTCTATGGAAGATGAGGACTTCCTGACAGCTGACAGCCCTGAGCCCGGGTCCAGTGATTTTGAGCATTGGCCGGACGACTGCATAGGATGAATCTGACATGCACCACGGCTGCTCACAGCCCTCGGCTTTCTTTCGGCGCCTAAAAAATAGTTGCTCTCCTCCTGCTGCCAGCATGATGAAATTGAGTCTAGACATAAATACATGAGACGCATTTGGACACAGCAAGGTCGGTGCCATCTTCGAAGACTTAGCGCCCGCTGTCGCTTGGCGTAGATCAAGACACAAACTGTCCACTTACCTATAGAATTGTTGTGAATATTCCCCAACCCACCCTAGAACTTCACTAGGCAAGTCATGCTGTCAGCTTGCTCGATGCTGTCTGCAGCCTACAGCAGCGGCCGTACCAGTTCCCCTTACATATGTTCGTGAATATTCCCCAACCCACCCTAGAACTTCTATCTTGCCGAAACAACT